GGAGTGAGATTCCAGGGCATGGATGAACAAAATTCCAGAGCATGGATGGAGTGAGATTCCAGGGCATGGATGAACAAAATTCCAGAGCATGGATGTCCCAAAATTCCAGGACATGGATGAACAAAATTCCAGAGCATGGATGGAATGAGATTCCAGGACATGGATGTCCCAGGATTCCAGGCCTTGACAAAGATTCCAGGCCCTGTCAGGACATGGATGTCCCAAAATTCCAGGACATGGATGTCCCAGGATTCCAGGACATGGATGTCCCAGGATTCCAGGACATGGATGGAATGAGATTCCCAGGATTCCAGGCACTGACAAAGGTTCCAGGCCCTGTCAGGACATGAATGTCCCAAGATTTCAGGACAAGGATGAACAAAATTCCAGGGCATGGATGAACCAGGATTCCAGGGCATGGATGTCCCAAAATTCCAGGACATGGATGAACCAAAATTCCAGAACGTGGATGAACCAAAATTCCAGGCCATGGATGTCCCAAAATTCCAGGACATGGATGTCCCAAAATTCCAGGCCATGGATGTCCCAAAATTCCAGGACATGGATGAACCAAAATTCCTGAGCATGGATGTCCCAAAATTCCAGGACATGGATGAACCAAAATTCCAGGACATGGATGGAATGAGATTCCCAGGATTCCAGGCCCTGACAAAGGTTCCAGGCCCCGTCAGGACATGGATGTCCCAAAATTCCAGGACAAGGATGAACCAAGATTCCAGGACATGGATGTCCCAAAATTCCAGGACAAGGATGTCCCAGGATTCCAGGACATGGATGAAATGAGATTCCAGGACCTGGATGAACCAAATTTCCAGGGTATGGATGTCCCAAAATTCCAGGACATGGATGTCCCAAAATTCCAGGACAAGGATGTCCCAAAATTCCAGGACAAGGATGTCCCAAAATTCCAGGACATGGATGAAATGAGATTCCAGGACCTGGATGAACCAAATTTCCAGGGTATGGATGTCCCAAAATTCCAGGACATGGATGAACCAGGATTCCAGGACATGGATGTCTCAAGGATCTCAGGCCCTGACAGGACATGGATGTCCCAAGATTCCAGGCTGTGACAGGACCTGGATGTCCCAAATTTCCAGGACATGGATGTCTCAAGATTCCAGA